AAATGCAGAAGGACAATATCATTGTCCAGTTCTTTTCAAATTATTTACTAAACATTCTCATATTGTTGCTATTAAAACAACGGGGAATGTGTTTTCATATGAGGTTTGTATTAACATAAAATTTGTTTTTAAGTACTTAATTCATTGTTAATATTTTTTAGGCAGTGGAACAATTAAATATAAAAACGCGTAATTGGAGAGATTTAATAAGTGATGAACCTTTTGTAAGAAAGGATATCATCACAATTCAAGATCCAACTGATGCAACAAAATTTAATTTATCAACTTTTCATCATATTAAAAATAATATAAAAATGGAAGATGAAGGTAATGTTTTACATCTTATGTTTTTGAAAATGTTTATTTGTACATGGAAAAATTAATGATAAGTTTTTAGAAACTGCTAAGGAACGAAATAATCCGAATGCAAAATTGAAGACTGTATCCATGGAAACTAAGGAAATATTGGCTGAGTTGGACAGAGATTACAAACAAACAGAAACCAAACTAAAAATTTCAAAACCAAAAGCAGATAAATTTAATGCTGTTTGTATATTAATGTTATTCAATGTAAAGTTTAATCATGTGCAAAGACATAATTATATTTACTTATAGGCACATTACTCTACTGGAGCTGTTGCTGCTGGTTTTACATCAACAGTAATGCCAACAGAAACAGCACATCAAGCAGCAATTATTGCAGAAGATTTAGTACGATATGAAAGGATTAAAAAGAAAGGTAAGAATATAATATTTCTTCTGTGGTTCTTGTTGAACTGGGTAGTAATTTTTTTCAGGGTATGTGAGGCTACTTACAAATTTTGGTGCTTTGAATTTGGAACTTCATTGTGATCTTGTTCCAAAAACTTGTGAAAACTTCATAAAACATTGCCAGAATGGTTACTATGATGGAACAAAATTTCATAGATCTATACGAAATTTTATGGTAAATTTATTATTTTGTTACATAGATATTGCGAAGAATAAAGAAATTATTATAAAATTTAGATACAAAGTGGTGATCCTACAAATACTGGTAATGGGGGAACATCTATTTGGGGCAAAAAGTTTGAAGACGAATTTAAACCAAACTTGATTCATCAAGGAAGAGGAATTTTATCA